TTCTCAGGAAATTATGTATGAAAATATATTAAAAAAAAAAATTAATGAAATATAACGTTTTTTTTTTATTTACTAAAATTGGTAAATTTGTGGTTTTTATCAAAATAAAATTAGCCATGAGTTTTTGGATGGTGTTTTAGTATTGGCAGTTTTTATATTAACACATAATAATAACTAAATAAATGAAGTTAACGTATCAAACAAAAAAATCTATTGAACAGTACTAAGTTTGATTAAATGATGTTTCGGAATCATATTAGATCATCTGACTCAACCATTACTAGACAAATAGTCAAAGTAGAAAATTATGAATGATCTAACATTATTGGTTAACTGAAATTGGCTGGATTTATAGTGGTTCTCTTGGACCGTTTCAACCAAATTTTTATATTCCCTTAACGAGAAATATGATTAATATAGTAGTCGCGGATATTATAGTAATAATGCAGCAGTCAACTTCAGTTCATGTAAGAAATGAGTCAAGAGGAGGTTTACTCTCTCACCTACAACGTTGGTAACAATGCGTAGACTGAGTTGTCTTGAGCTATTGCTGCATATTTCCTTCAGTGACAACGATGATTTTGACAAAATTTGTAGATTGTAGAAATCTACACAATCGAGTTAATTAGTCATAAACACGAAGGAATTTAAGAAATTTCTACTATACAGAATCTTTGTCAACCTCGAGCTATGGAAAAAGAGAAGAGAAAAGAAGTTTCGGAGATAGGAAAAAAACCTCAAATCGAACTGGGGGATATGACTCTCCGCCGTTCGAATTGACCTTCAAACGGGAGATGAACGATTCCAAAACAATCGGAGACCGAAAGTAACGAGAAACCCCATTTCTCCGATTTCGATTTTGAGAGAAGAGGAGTGTCGTTTGTACTCTCATAATTTGTTTTTGTTTATTTCCATCACAAACGAATAAACAATTAAATTAATTATAAATTGATATGTTTAATAAGCCCCGCGAATCTTCTTCCTTTTTTTTAATTTCACGTCGGTTAATAATAAACCGTCGTTAGAAAAGCGACGTGTGGTGATTAATTTTTTGTAGTGATACTATTTTTTTTATATTTAAATCATATGTCCAACAAAGTACGTAATCAACTAGCTAAAGCT